AGTAAGGAAGGAGAAACATTCAGCCTGCGTGAGGAACATCCTTACTGGCACCAAGTGCAAGGTCAGCTTCACCTCACTGCAAGAAAGTTGTGAAAAAATTGTGAATCGTTTTTAATTTACATTTACTCGCCTTTGCAATGTTGTGGTTGTTAGTGTTAGGCTTCCTGTCAGCTCGTCTGTTGGGAAGATATAAAATATTAGTTTCATGGAAGTCACACCGTCACATATAAGAGCATTAAGACATACAGTACATAGGCTAAAACAAAACATCTAAAGATATAACCTTGCACTTTGTCTCGTGAACATTTTCACAATTTTGACATTTTTATAGATGAAAATTGAACTAAAGAAATAAATGATAGATTCATCCATATTGAAAATAGGTGTCAGCTGCTACACTAATTATAATAGTTATATTTCTTAATGAATTAAGATAAGATATTACTGTATTGATCCCAATTTGGGAAATGTTTGTGTTGCAGCAGCATAACAAGAAAAACAAAATATAAGTTATTAAATATACAAAAGTATGTGAGGGATGGAATATTAAATTGAATATAAATTTAAAATGTACATGTGATTTTACGTCCAAGAGAAGCTATGGAGCAGAGAGTTCAATATGTCAAACTGATTTCCCTGACTACAATCTTTAGTTACATGATGAAACGTTATGCTGCTTATACTAATTAGACTTATCATATAAGCCACACATGTTTTAATAGGATGTATTCATTATCTTTACTTATGTTGCGGTCTTTTCAGCAGCGCCATCTCTAAAACGGCGATACAGTCACTACCCATCATTTAAATTTCACCGTGACATGGACAAAAATGTAACGTCAGCTTACCTCATAGCACGAATCCAGACAGGGAAACGATAGAACGAGCACGTTTCATTCAAAGACCTGTGGCTGCAACCCGGAGCAAAGCAACAAACCATTGCGTAGCTAACTAGTAGCGCTAGCTTTAGCTAACGTTAGCTAATGAAACGAACTGCCGAGTAAAATTGGAAAACACTGGTAATTAATTATTCTATAATTTGTAAAACTACGGTGTTAAAAACGACAATTTCAAAAATACAGATTCTAATGGTCAGATATAGATATACAGATACTAAAGATAGGCAGGTACTTGCTTTCAAGCAGAACACAGGGGAAAACAAACTTAGCGGGAGTGTTAGGCCGCCTAACACTTTACGAATATAATAGTTTTTTATGGACAACTTTACCATTCAATCTCGTCCAACTGATCTTGCAGCTGTCACTCCTCGGCTCTTGGTAGTTCAGGCATTTATCAAACCTGGCAACTCCGGGGTTCCTGGCAAAGTCCAGTGGCTCCGCCCCAAAGTCTCAGAAACTCTTCACGCGCGCGTAGACAGACTCCGCGAGCGAGTGAGGCTGACACTCCCGCGAGGGAGCAAGAGGGCTGTCTCTCTCACGAGCGAGCGCATAGCCGCCCGCGGGTGTTTAATCTGAGTCATTTTATGCACGTGTAAAAGCACATTTTCCGTGAGTAGCTTGTTTTACGTGCTAGAATATTGACCCAAATCTGACTCCATAGAAGTCCCCAACGCAGCACACCCTCCCGGCCATCAGAGTCGAACCCACAGTTCGGAGGAACCGACCGCCAGAGCACCGGCACTAGGCCGGGCCAGCGTGGAGGCTCTCCGACAGTGGGTCGCGTTTGCCATTCGATCAGTGAGAGGAGAGGAGAAAAATGCATCAAAAATGGTCAAAATCCGTTAATATATGGATGAGTGGGGGGTGGGGGACAAGGCTGGACACGGCTGGACACAGGCCGTGGGGGGACACCCGAGACCGGGCAATGTCCCCGGTAGAAATCTGAATCTGCCAATATCGTTCCAACTTTACTCGACTTATTGTCACTCAGTCATCAGTTTCTATAGACTATCTGGATTTAGTTATTGCGTAATAATTATTGTGTTCCCACAAATTACTAATGCGTGGGAACATAATAACTAATTTGTGGCCACGCATTATTAATTTGTGGCCACGCATTATTAACTCGTGGCCACGCATTATTAACTCGTGGCCACGCATTATTAACTCGTGGCCACGCATTATTAATACGTGGCCACGTATTAATATTTTTCTCACCAATGTCACCAGGGGGGCTTCGTACTATAGTTTAAAAACGGTAGCTGATTTCGGTAAAATGTCAACGCGTGAAGCATATCAAGGACTCTGAGCGTCTGAAGTGTGCTTTTTGTGCACTTTCGGGTCAATAATGTGGCATTTTTGGCAGATTTACTAAAGGTGTGCAGCTGGTGCTCTGAGGATAGATCAGGCTGTATTTACAATGGGCCTTAATGGAAACATGTTGTTGTCACTTCATGCCCTCAAGAGGCATTTTTTTTTTTTTTTTTGTTTATTTTTTTTTTTAAATTTCAACGTGAGAGGTTTTCCTACAATTCAAGCATACAATGATGTCCCAGGAGTGTAGTGTTTGGGAATTATGGCAGTTTAAAAAAGAAAAATGTAAGGCGAATTTCAAGCTCTCCTCCACTCTAGCTGTGACATCACGCACTCTAAGCCTCAACAAGCTGCGCAATACACACTAATGTTAAAATCTGAAGAAAGCCTCTTTACCAAGCTCCAAACTAAGTTAAATATCTCAACAAGTATAAAGTTTTCAAGCTGAATGTCTTGTGATCATTTTAAAGTTGGAATGAAGTCTCTAGCTGAAAGTATGTGGAAGGAGTAGCATTTGGCGCAAGGTGTACTGTAGGTAAAAGAGGATTTGAAGGTTCCTCCCATTGAGTTACATGTAAAAAAAGAGTTTAAAAAGCTGAATATTTCAAAAAAGTATAATATATTTTGAAAAAATTGTATGCTGAAGTTATTCGACGGCAAAATATTGGTTGAAATAATAATAAGAAGAAGAATAAGATTAAAGAAAAACAGAAGAACTATAGTGGAATGTGTTGCACAGCATTCGCACTAATGACGTATATGAGTTAAAGATAGGTGGTGAATGGGGAATGATATGACATATATATAACAAATGCCACACATTTAATTACAATTGCAGGTACACACACATCAGGAGTGCCGTCTGTCAAAACACAGGAACTCTGCTAGTAGGGATGATGTCAGAGAAGAGTTTCCTAGCAACATACAGTTTTTCGTCAGGACGAGTGCATTACGATGTCGGAGAGGAAAACACACGCACATGTAGACTGGACCCAGACTCCTGAATCTTCAATAACATCTTGCTTCTACACACACACAAACGCAAACACATGAAACATGAATCATCTCAGGATATGAGTCATCTACTCCCGAGGGGGCGAAGAGAGGCATGTTGGGATATTGTGATGTCACTGAACTTTTAAGGCCCCTGACCCAGTGACCTGCTGTATGGCAGTTGTGTGAGTGTGAACGTGTGTGTGTGTGTGTGTGTGTGTGTGTGTGTGTGTGTGTGTGTGTGTGTGTGTGTGTGTGTGTGTGTGTGTGTGTGTGTGTGTGTGTGTGTGTGTGTGTGTGTGTGTGTGTGTGTGTGTGTGTGTGTGTGTGTACAGGTTTTGGAAGTAATGGAACACATGCAACTGGAATATGTAATCAGAATACCAAATAGTAACTGAATTCCCTTACAGTTACCGAAATAAAAGTGTAAAAGAGGACACTTAATGGTAATTTTCAGATTCATATTAGTATGTTGTGGCCTTACTGTGACATGTCTCCATGCTTTAATGTTCAGAAAGATTTTTATTTTTCTCACACTGCCTGTGCTGCAGCACCTCTTTTCACCCTCTGTCTGAAACCAGAGCCCAGTCTGCTCTGATTGGTTAGCTGGCCGGCTTTGTTGTGTTTCGCCAACCGCTTAGAGATGTCCCGCCTCTTAGCCTATCACGTACCATGTGTTGGAGTGCTAGCCAATAGATGTGTCTGTGTTACGTAGTGATGTCACTATGTTACAGAAGTAAACAAAGGATTCCAATGGAGGCGATTCAGGCAGGGGGGAGTGTGTGGGAGACAAACACCCTCTGTAGGGAAAACAGGGATTTTAGCCTTTGCAGACTATTTACATGCACTAAACTACTTATATGACACACTACAGGGAAGTCAAACCCAAAAAGCCAAAAATAATTGTGCAGTGGACAATTTCCCGTTATTTCCCAAAACGTAACGAAAAGTAATCTGATTATATTACAATTTGTTGCGAATTACATTCGGTTGAAGACCATATTTTTGTACAGGTAATTCATAATTGTAACATAATGCATTTAATGTAACCCTCCCAACCCTGTGTATGCCAGTGTTAATTTACAGGTGGGGCCTTAAAAAGAATGCAAATAACAAACAATAGTGCCTACATTAAAAATGTGCACCACTTCCCTTTAAATGCAGTATCATCTTTCCGCTGTTTGTGAGAGAGAGGAACAACCAATATCGTACAGATGATATACTGTAGCTGCAGGACACACACACACACACACACACACACACACACACACACACACACACACACACACACACACACACACACACGCACATACGCTTATCTTGTTGACTAATTAAAGCTTGTGCACATTGAAAATAGTCTTCAACAGAGGAGACTGTGATTAGAATAATTGAAATGGGATGCTGCTGCTGCTGCTACTTAGCTGGAATGCAACCAACTGAAGTCAGCTTTTACTTTGGTAATTCCACAACTCTGCACTTAGTTCACTGTGAGTACACTGATCCCTGGTGGGCAACCAACTCCCTGTGCTCCTCTCAGTTTGTGCTATAAGTTATATTAAAGTCCACTCTGATGGGGACGCTTCAGTGCGGCCTTGATTAAACGCTGACTCAGCTGCTCTGCATCAGAGCGGTTGCATAAGCAGTCCCTTTGGTCAAGTGTAGTCATTGTAATTCACCAGGTACTTTCCACATGAGGAAAAACTTACATTAACCGTGATTCCTCTGCTTCACTTAGTTTGTGCTACCAAATGAACGAAAATAATGTGTATGTAATACAAATATTTGTGTGTTTAGGAGATGACCCACTCCTGGCCTCCCCCTCTCACTGCCATACACACTCCTGGGAAGGCTGAGCACACCAAGTTCCCCATCCCAAACAAGGTTAGTACAAGTCCTCTGTCTTTGTCCCACTACAAACAAAAGCTGTCTGCTAACATTAAGGCTTTATAGAGTAGTGCCAGAATGAGTTCTCAAACCCGAGAATGAGTTAGCATTTAGGCACTGTTGGTTCCCTCGTTTTGTCAGTTTTTTTTTTTAAACGTTTGTAGTTAGATACTTGAAATAAGTTCTGTGGTTAAAACAAAAAGGTTTTGTTCTACAACATGACATACGTCAGTAAATACCCCGCTGGTGAATGTCTGAAGCTTTCAAGTGACTTAAAAACGTTGTCTACTAGCAAGTGACTAAATGAAACTACTAAACGTCATCATGCCAGCAATTAGCCGCCTTTAGCTTAGACCCCGGCCACACGAGGACGAAAACGGCTAAACGCATAGGATTAATGCAAACGCAAACAAGCTTCCGTCCACACGCAATAGTTATCCGGATAGTGTCTGCCCACACGAGACCGCTCCGTTTAGCTCCAACCGCTGGAGAAGCTGCAGTACATATGCAGGAGCCTGTACGTGGCGCTGTAACTTCACCACAAAAGCAGCGAAGAAGCATGGTTGTCATGGTTGCCCTTCTGTTTATTCTCCACGGTGGGGGCCGAGGGAACCGGGCAGAGTTTTTCGCCAGTCAACGTGTATTAAAGTTTAAACCTTCCGACAAAATTATAAAAGTGCCGGTCAAAGGTCTTCTTTGTTATTTATTGAGCTTTAAAACAAATGAATAACGACTCTATATAATATAATAATAAAATACACGGAGCCTCTCTTTTTCCACCCTCTCTTCGGACAGCGCCAGTGTCTGTTTCATGCAGCAGCTGATCCAGTAATGAGTGACCCGGCCGACAGTAAAAATAAACATATTTATAACTAGTTTAGGTAGTTTGAGAGGTGTCTCCGTCCTGTCAGATTAGACTTCTCTCGCGTTTATGTCCATATCGAGAGAAAGATAAATAATCTGAATTCAGTGTGCAGTTTACTTTGACGCGGGGGTGAGCAGCAGAGGTGGGGAGAGGCGGGGCTATTGCGCAATCATTATCAGAAAATGATCGCTGAAGCTGCAGTACATATCCACAAAAGCAGCGAGTAAGATCCCCCCCGGATGTGTAAGTCTGCTGTAGATGTTGCACAAAGAACTGTAGCATGGTCAGTAGCGTCCGGAGCACGATAGCAACTCTGCGATCCGCCATTGTTGTTGTTGTTGGTGGCGAAACACATCAGCAATGGCGCGGGGTACGCGGAGGTGAGCAGCAGAGGTGGGGAGAGGCGGGGCTATTGCGCAAGGGAGTGGCTATATACAGGACCGTCCTGTACACAACGCCAAATGACTATATACAGGACCGTCCTGTACACAACCCTCTGAAATGGCTATATACAGGACGGTCCTGTATATAAGGTCTCTGAAATGGCTATATACAGGACCGTCCTGTATACAAGCTCCGAAATGGCTATATACAGGACCGTCCTGTAAACAGCTCTCTGAAATGGCTATATACAGGACGGTCCTGTATATAGCCATTTCGGAGCTTGTATACAGGACCGTCCTGTATATAGCCATTTCAGAGACCTTATACAGGACCGTCCTGTATATAGCCATTTCAGGGCTTCTGTGCAGGACCGTCCTGTATATAGCCATTTGGCGTTGTGTACAGGACCGTCCTGTATATAGCCTCGGCCATTGCGCAATCATTATCAGAAAATGATCGTATAGGGCGCACACACGGAGCTGTTTGACCCCCCAGAGCGTTGCGTATGCCGTTCTATCCACCTTGGGACCCGTTATCGTTTCCTCAGTCGTTTAGTGCCGTATGCGGTCGTCCTCGTGTGGCCGAATGGTCTATATGACACTAAACAGTAACGCAAACGGCCGTTTTTGTCCTCGTGTGGCTGCAGCCTTAGTGACATGTATGTAACATGTAGTCATGTAGTCATGTGACCATGATGTCGTTTTGCCTAATATTTGCTTTTCGCTTCTGATGATTGCATTCACGCTTCATCTATTAAGGGGTTGTAAATATGTGGAGATTTTCCTGCAGAACAAAAGGAGTAACATAAACGTTAGCCACAAGCCTTATTTTCTGCAATATTCCAAAATCTAATGGAAAACTCCCATTGCTTCTTGTCGAGGAAGCCCTTGCAATGGTTATTCTGGTCCGGCCTACAACAATTAGTAATCTCTCCCCCACTATATAGTATCATATTTTCCCGAGAAAAAGGTTATATTGAGGTTTTTCAATAACGCGTCAAGTTAGTGTCTTTATATGTTATGACAATGTTTTTTGGTATTGTGTTTACATAATTGTAGATGTTAGTCTGCCCTGTTATTACAACGTGTGCTTCCCTTTGTGTACTGCAAGTGGGAAAGCTGTATTTGATTTTGAAAGTTTATATGCCAACAAATATGGTTGGAAATAAAATATTTGAAGAGATAAAAACGTATAGAGATTTACGGTAATGATTGCATCTATCCTTTTCCAATAAACGTATGCTTTAGGACTTTTGATGCACTGGAGTCTTATAAAACTAATAGTATATTACTAGTATTATAGGAGTGGCATAATCTTTAAGAGAGGGAGAGCAACTTCAAAATATCTCTACCTAGCAAATAGTTGTTTTATTACATACTTATATGGTATTTGGCTGACGCTTTTATCCAAGATAATCCTTTATTGGTTCTTCTATAGGGTCTTTGCAGTGTTACAGATAATAAATAACACTTAAAATAAAAAACTATGGCATATGATATAAATATATAATATTGCACTATATAAGATATTGCTGCTTCATAATATTTCTGAATGCCATAAATATAACTAACTTTAAATGTCGTTATCTGCTTTGACTAAATCCTTCCCTTTATTAGTGCATGAGTCAGAGAGTGGAACAAGGATGTGAAAGAGTTCAGAAACCTTCACTTGAACTCCCACACTTAAAACTAAGTGCTCTCTGTCTCTGAGAATCTTCGCTCTGCTCATTAGATCTGATCCATAAATTCATCGTGGCACTGATTGCTGTGATAGAATCAGATTACTGTTGCCTCACCCTGCGAGGTGGCGCAAGTGACAGCCAATGAAATTACAATGTTAATGAAGTACTGCGTGTTTAATTCGCCTCCCTAATGTGTGTGTCCGCAGCTGAGAGGAAGTGGACACATCCCTGATGACAGGATCTGTACTGTACCCACTATCAAAGACGGGCTTTATTTATAGATGTCTTTCTTACATTTGTGATAAATGGCGTTTTTTTATCGCTAATAAATCTAATGCTTTATTGTCATTAAGCCCTTAATAAGAAACACATTTTGGGTTTCCAGCTTGGAACATTGTCTTTTTTTCTCTCACAGGACTCTTTATTTATATTTGTAGTCCATCAGGGGGGTATACTACGAAGCAGGATTTTCGCTTAGCCGGCTAAATTCAGGGAAAACTCCGGCTTTCCGGTCCTACGAAGCTGGTTCTCTTTTTAGCAGGCTAGATCTCCATGGTAACTTATGCTTAGCGGCTAACCTGGTCGGGACCAGGTTAGGTTGCAGGCTAAGAGTTCAACTCAGTGAAAGCACCGCCTGCTGACCAATCAGAGCTCAGTGTGCGGAGTTTAAAGCGATCAAGTCATATTACAGGATAAAGGAAATACAGAAAAGCTGCCGTCGCAGGAAAGACGGCCGGCAAAATCACCGACTGTGTGAACGTGAACATTAATAGAATATCACCTCCATCTTCAGAGCAATCTGACTATTATAACATTAGCGTTAAGAAAGCTTACTTAAATATCTGCCACAACATAAGTAACCGGATCAAAGTAACATTAAGTACAGTCCGCGGCATATCACTTCATACTGTATATTTTCTTATCTGAGTCAGCTGAGCCGTATCTGGCCGTGCAACACTCACAGTGTCACATACTGTATGCAGAAGTATTATTTTAAGCAACACATTAAATTGACGAAACACTCGAGACAAATGTAATTAAAGTCAAATCGTGTTTTAGACGGGGCAGTGATATCATAAACCTGTTAATGTACGCATTCAAACACTTTTTCTTTTGCCAGCTGTATTCACCTTGCAGGTGCAGCTATGTGGCTTTTATCCTGGATAAAGTGTTTAAGTCATGGATGTTTAAAGTTTAACTTCTTCATTTTTGACTAGTATTAAAGTTCACTTTTCATTCAGGAAGTATGACGCTGCGCTGTCAGTGCGCTTCTCCATGTTTGTGATTGGTCGAATGCTCCAAATACCACCCCTTTCATGTGAACGCGCACCTAACTAGATAGGGCACGGCTGGCTTGAGCGATCCACTTGATAACCCGCGTCGTAGTACAGTTTAGCGAGAGCGCGTATGTTTTGGATTAGGGCAACCGGCTAACTCAAACATATCCAGGTTAGGTTGAACCAGTTTCGTAGTATAGGCCCCAGGTGCTGCCCCAAAGTGTAATTATAAAAGAAAACGTTACATTACATTTAACAATTTAGAAAATGAAACATTTGTGTATCTGTACAATTTATATATTTTGTGACCCACTCTTACCAAAAAACAAACTTCACCCACAGAGACTTGAAGGGAATAACGTTGTTCTACCACCCACGCTGTTTTCTTTTTCAACAGGTAATGTTTGGGAAGTGTAGTGCAGAAACACAACAACAGTAATCACTAAACACTGACTTGCAATAAAAAGCAACAACTTAAGAGTTTCCTCTTTTGGAGACAGGTGTTAGAAAAGTTTCCACAAAAGTGCTTTTCATATAGATATTCAGAGCATTTGTCACATTAAAACCAACATAAATGTCATAATCTATCTCTGAAACGGCAGCTATTTTCTGACTGAAACAGCAGGTGTTTCTCAATGCTTTTATGAATCATATTTTGATATGCGCAACGGCACATTGGTGGTGATTTTAAAGGAAATAGCGATTGTAAACACAGCAGCAGTAAATCTGACCCGGTACTTAATGAATTAGTAGACAGTGTTGTGGTGCTTTTACCCCCTGGCGGCGCGCTAATCCTGCCGGCGAGTTTTAAGAATGAGGTGAAAGCATTGGCGCGGTGGAGATGAGAGGATCTGAATTCTGCGTAATGGCATCGTTGCGCTGCTGTGAAATCAATAACGACATCTGTTGGTTTATTCATTCAACTCATCGTCCTCTGGCTCTTTCTCTCTCCCTCTCTAGGAGTCGCAGCATGTGACCTCGGGCTACAACACCCAGAGTAAGTTTCCCAGCATCCACCCTCACACACTGCCTCTATGGTAATTAACACTGGGGAGGCCATAAAGGCAATACCACCCAGAAAAGAAGCAGCTTCGAATGAATTCGTAGCCACGGGAGCACCAAACCTTTGCTTTCATCTCTATGTGAACAAGTAAGCAGACAAACATGGTTTTACACACACGGATACATTGGTGCTATTGATTGATTGATTTATTTTTTTCTTTAAAGGGGCCCTATGATGCACATTTTCAGGTTAATATTTGTATTTTGTGTCTCTACTGGGACATGTCTCCATGCTTTAATGTTCAAAAAGCTCTTTATTTTTCTCATACTGCCTGTGCTGCAGCACCTCTTTTCACCCTCTGTCTGAAACCAGAGCCCAGTCTGCTCCGATTGGTTAGCTGGCCGGCTCTGTTGTGCCCCTTAGCCTATTATGTACAGTCTGTTGGAGCGCTGCCCCATAGAAGCACAAGTGTTACATAGTGATGTCTTTATGTCAAGAAGGTAAACAAAGGAGTCCAATGGGGGTGTTTCAGGCAGGGTATGTGGGAGAGAAACTCCCTGTGGAGGGAACATAGGGATTTTAGCCTTTGTAGCTCATTAACATGCACTAAAACCTTTAACACAATACAGGACAGGGAACACCCAAAAAAGCACAACAGGACGTCTTTAAAAGCAGCTTGATGCTCACACATAAGAAGGAAGAGCTTTTTTAGTCAGCATTTACATTTTGCGTAGTGAAATACAGCAGAGGGTGATTTGCTGTTATTCATGGACAATTACACATTTTGGATCATTTCATCCCAAGCTCACACTTAAGTGGTGAGCTGAGCACAGACTGCTCAGAGTGCTGCTGTTACTGATAGCATTCACTCAGAAGAGGGAAATGTTCCCTCACAGTATGTCTGATTTCGCACTGCAGTATTCATTTATCATTATATCATTTCTTTATTTTTGGTTTAAAGGCAAAAAAACTGATTGGGAAACACATTTTGTGGGGTTCACTTGACTCATAGTGCCGAACACTCACCAAAATAGAAGAGAAGCAGTAGGGTTCATAGGTTTATAAGAAAATGTGACATAAATAACACAATACAGGACAGGGATTAGGTTTGTATCTTACTAGTGTTTTGTATTGTTTTTACATCATGTAGGAGAGTTTTTCAGTCTGTGGCTTCTGATCTGGTTTCATTGTCTCGTGTTTTACATTTGTTTCATGTCCTGTCTGTTTTTGATGTATTTATGCTATGTTTTCATACAGTTGTTGTTGCACTTTGTTCAACTCTGTTGTTTTTAAATGTGCTATAGAAATAAAATGGATTGGATAAATATATCGTGATTGAAGCTAAAGTATATACAGTACCAATAGGTATAAACACTATGTAGAACAGTAGTATACATGTTGAATATACTATTGAGGTAGCAGAAAGATATACAGTATAATATTTACACTATAGAAAGAATATAGATCAAAGTGGTTCTATTAAGCTCTTTGGCGTTTTCTTTTTTCTGTAGTGTCTTATATACATTAGGTTTTGGTGCATGTAAATGGTCTGCAAAGGATACAATCCCTGTGTTCCCTCCAGAGGGAGTTTCTCTCCCCCCCCCCCTGAAACGCCTCCATGGTACTCCTTTGTTTACTTCCGTAACATAATAACAATACTGTATTTCACTTTGTAATGTATTTATGTACACTAAAGCATGTTCAAAATGGAGCAACTGACAACTAAATTCCCCCTTCAGGGTTCTTACGGTCATTAAAAACCTGGAAAAGTCATTGAAATTCAAAATGCAAATTCCAGGCCCTGGAAAAGTAATGGAAAATCATTGTTGAAAAAGTGTATGAACCCTGCCCCTTGATAAGTAAAGTATTCTGTTTTGAAGACGTATATTTTGCCTAAAAACACAATAGTTCTCATAGGCTTGTTAAATACATGCTAAATTAGGATATTTCAACACATTGATAAGATATTGAGGGATGGTTACCTAAACAATTATGTTCTGTTTCATAAAGTGATGTATAGATGACTCTAAACACTTGATAGAATCTCTTTTATTCTATTTATTTAGTATTGACTCCCGGGCATCAGATCATCAAAAGCCTCGTCTGAACTGTTGCTCTGCTTTTAGCCCTCATCTTGTAGTGTTTTGAAATGTTTGTGATGTATATTTTCCCCACTGGCGGGTTTTTCTCTCTGATATAAACAGAAGAAACACAACATGACTAGAATATAAAACACAGTGAAAAGGTTCTGCTCTAAAAGTCTGTGTAACCATTTAGAAAACATTTCACCTCAGTCTTTGTCAGGCAGTGCATTTCAGTTTGTTTTTCACCCAAACCCCTGTTACCAAAGCAAGGCAGAAATACGCTCTCTAATTAAATAAAAATGTAGCAGTGACATGTTTTCTAGCGTCACAACAGAATTGCACATCCACAGTTGTTATAGTCTGGATTCTTGTCAAAAAGCAATCAACACACAAACAAAAACACATGCAAAACAGTGATGCTGGAATGTCCTCTGATGTGTTGCAGAGCGATGTACTGTATCAGCTAACAAGCCTGCTGCGAAACCTCCAACTGCACCACAGAAGTCGTGAGTATCTCCCTCCCTGACACACACACACACACACACACACACACACACACACACACACACACACACACACACACACACACACACACACACACACACACACACACACACACACACACACACACACACACACACACACACACACACACACACACACACACACACACACACACAGAGAGAGTGTCTGACCCGCTGCTGCTGCTGCGTTTGCCTCAAGGTAAAATTAAGCTTGACTCTTGGATGAAATTCACTGCTGGTAGGAGAAAAAGAAAAAAAAGATTGTGTGTGGATCAGAGCGAGGAAAGTGCAGCTATATTAATTTAACGTGAGCCAGGAGCATATTGCAACATCTCTGGCCCCTCTCCACTTCACTCACACGGCTGTACAGCAGGATTCATTGCAGGGAGAGATTGGAAAAGGAAGAAATCTTGGCTTGTAAATATTCCTCTCGACCCTGATTTATCCTGGTTTTGACCGCAGAATAAATCATTTTGTTTCACAAAATGACAGTTGGCTTAATCCCTTAACCCTGAATAGTGATTAGTGAATCATATCTTAGTAACTGTGACTATGTATGCCTTTAGCCTTTTCAAAATAAGACACACAAAAGGAATAGTGTGAGCAATTGATTAAACAGCGTGTTTCTTAAATGTAAGATGCAAAGGTTAGCATACCCAGCTAATATGCTTGTCAGAGGAGTAACATGACACTGCTACTGAATCTTAATTAAGATACTATCCTTAGTGCACTGCTATATCCTGCACCGGTTACATTTTGACCATGTAGTGTTGTCTGAAATTGCCCGCAGCTGCTGTGACTTGGCGGAAGTGACAATCACTGCTGCTGCTAGCTAGCTAGCTAACAGCATTGTTATCGTTCGCTGCAGCAAATTATTACGGCCTGCTCAATTAATCCAATAAAAATTACCGAATGCTTCTTTTTGATAATTGTATAGTGGTTCATGAATTCAATACAGAAAATAAGCCATGTGTTTAACTTTTATTAGTTTAGTGGTCGCGGCTGGTTCCACATATTCTGCTAAATAGGGCTGCACGATTTTGAGAAAAAATCTAATTGCGATTTTTCTGACAAATATTGCGATTCGATTTGCGATATTTGTTCTTAAGCGACCCAACGGACGTTTATTGTAAAATGCGGTCATATCTCCGGCTAGGAAGGTCGCATCAACATGCTCCCGTCTCTAGCACCCCCGCAGCCCGAGCTACGAGTGAAATAACTAAACTTACATGAAACTTCCGTTGGGTTGCTTTAAAGTCAAGCTTCAGTTTAAGATTCACCCTGTAATAGAAACACGTGATGGAGCATTACTAACCTGACTCAGGTGCTTTGTTTCACCAAGCCATCTAGGAAAGCTCCATTGGAAGCCATTTGGAAAGGGCAGGCACTTTCAAAAATACTTGGCAGGTGATTGGATCAATCTGTCTATCACCTTCTACCATGGGCCACTTCTGATTGGTTAAAGGGGAAATCATGCAAAATGCACTTTGTGATGTCTTTTATACATAAATATGTGTCCCCGGTACATCGGGAAACTCACACAGCGTCAGAAAATAAAACCCTCTCTCTTTTCCTCCGTACCCACATCTTTTAAAAACGGGTGTACAACGAGCAGATACAGATTTCCATCCGCTGTGACGATGTCCATCCGCTGTGACGTCGGCGGACCCACAGAAAGTTGCTATCAGATACAATGCCTGACGTGTTTTGGAAGTAATCTCGTCTTTGTTTACATTAGCAAGCCTCGCTAACACTCAGAGCTAACCTGTACTGGAGAGCACATGTGTTTTTAAAAAGCAGGAAATAAAAAAAGAACTCACCTTGTGATAAACCTGCAAGAGAAAAAGCATTTGAGCTCCATACTGTTTCAGAAATAATCTTTGATGTGGATAAGAACAGGATGGCGTTTTATCACAACCAAATTTAATTGTATCTCTGGTAGAATTCTGATCAAGCTCCGCCTCCTCTTCTTTCTTTTTTTTCAAGCTAAGGACCCAAGATCCGCGTTTCTCTAACAGGGCTTCAAAAGAGGGGTTTGAGCAGTGAGAGGCATGGCTACAATGGGTGATCTGTTTGGTATTTTGAAAAGAAAACTTCACTGACATGTTTTGTATAGGTATGGCCCTACAATATATTTTTCAAATATAGCATGATAGGTCCACTTTAACAATGGCTGGTATATGTGGAGCACAGCACTTCTGATTGGTGTGGATGACTGACACACAAGAAAAAAAAATGTTAAAAAAAAATCGCAGGCTTTGAGATTTAACAATCGCATCATTTAAAATCGCGATTTCGAATTAAAATCGATTAATCGTTCTGCCCTACTATGAAGGCATGATGATTGATTGCAAGACGTTTCCAGCGTGGCACACTTACCTTTTGACCGTTATAACTTATAAGTACCCATCCGGGTACTTATAAGTTATAACTTACTACTCATGAACTACTCATGGTGCATTTTGCCTTACTTTTCATTGGTACACACTTTAGACTTGTTTAGTCTTTTAGCTAACATATATTAAGCCTTTAATTGCATATATAAGAATACTATTATAATAATTAAGTCAGCTTGAAACATAAAAAAATCAGCCAGAACCCATTTTTATCAAAAAAGCTGCTAATATTAGCTCAGTTAGTTAGCTAGTATTGCCAGAGTATCTGCTAGAAGCAGTTGTCAACTCAGCCATCAAAATAGTATAGAAAGAAAGCCATGTTTAGCTTTAGCCTCTGTCTTTTAGCATAACACATATCTAGCTGTCAAATATACATTTTAGACTAATTTGACAAGATTCAAGTCTGCTGAAACTAAATAAAAGTCAACACGTTTTTGGCTGCTAACATTAGCTAAATAAGCGAACTAGTTTAGTTTATATTATATTATCTGCTAATGTAGCCTAATGACATTGGTGATTTCAGCTAGCTAAATAGTATAGATATTCAACAACAACAACAACAACAACAACAACAACAACAACAACAACGACAAAACCCCAGCAAACAGTCAGTTATACATTTGAGAGGGACTATAGTAAATACAAAATTGGAGAAAAATATGTATTTTTGCGTCTGTGTCTATGATACACAGCTACTACGTACTTATGGAACATATTTCACTTGTTACTCAACAAATAATATCTTATTGTAGGTTTAGATAAAACTTAATTCATCACTTGTTGAAATTCTCAAGCTACCCAACAGTATAGGAAAATAATGACATACATACAAAAAGGATTAGCTTTTCCTCTCCTCTTTTCTTTCTTCATCTGGAGAAGAGGATCTCTGCTCTATCCACTGTCATATTTAATGAGAGTGTTAAAGATCTTAGTGGAATGCATTATTTATAAATGTGAAGAAAGCTAATAAAAAGGAGTAACATTTGGGCAAGCATCGTGTCAAAAAGAAGAGCTTCTGTAAAGTGAAGCAGACTTGATGGCTAGAAGATGATGCAAAAATCCTGCAAGTTAAGAAAAAGTCAATGCAGTCTAAAAGCGGTAATTCAGCATGTAAACTCTCATGTCCTCCTCTTTGAGTATGTACTTACACCCCTAATTATATCTCCATTAGGATGATGTCTGCTGGAGCTGCAGTGCTTATAATGTCTTAGTACACTGTTTTACTTCCAAAGGCAATAAGCCTGTTTCTTTTGATTGCTATTGTTTGCCCTAAAGTGTAATTTCCCCCATCTTGTATTAAAGCAAAACTGCTGTTTTGTTTATTAGAGTGAAATAATTGTCATTGGTTCAAAACAATGCCTAGTTTACTGCACATAATGCTCAACAGGGTAAAATGTTGGTTATAATGAATAGGCCTCACTCGTCTTATTGAGGAGTAATTATGCTGTTGATGCTAATTGCTGTATTCTTTACTGAATGTTCACTATAACGACCATACAGAAAACACATCTAACTGTGATTACCGACAGTAGGCTCCATACTTTAATGCCATATTAGAAACAAAAGCAAGTTGTTACTAGAGCAGAAAGTGCCTCCCACTGCAAGAGTTTCACTACACTGATCCCATGATGTTTGGACAACTGCATGCTATTCATAAAGCGCAGGCCTAAAGCCCACAATCCTGTTTCATTGTTATCTGAATAGCTATATTACAATATTACGCCATAAACAACGTTTTAAATATCGAGTACATTTCAAAGAGCCCTCTTTCAGTCACCATATCCTTGCAATCTTGCTAAAGAGAAGTTAACATACACTACATGTGTACACCCTGAATAAGCTTTACCCTGCATGATGATAGCCAAATGATAAACACAAGTGCTTTAGGACAATATTCGAATCATCATTATTTATTATTACTTAGCAAAATCCTACTAATGTTAAAATAAAGGTTGTATCATATTGGAAAAAACTGACATTTCAATAATACATAAGCAGTATGCATTGCAATATGATAAATCCATAATTAAAAATACAATCAACACAAATCTTGCATTTTTAATTGAAAAGTAAGAGGCTATACATATACAGTAGAGATTTTTTTTATTAAGAGATTCTTTATTAATCCCAGCGGGGACATTTCGGTTTTTTACATCGCACACATGGGCCGAAACACACACGCAGGAGCGTTAGTGGAGAGGTGTCATGGAGCAGATTGGGGTTTAATGTCTTGCTCTAGGAGTCAAACTGGCACCTCATTTAATTATGTTTAACGAGACGAACTGTGTTTCAAGATACTGGGTGGGGTGGTTTACCAACAGCGTCACAGACCCACGGCATTGAAAAGCACTTGATTTGATATGCAGCAGCAACCACTTTAAACACATTTCATGTGAGCATATACATGTACAGACGTGTGAGGCTGATAACGTCAGATTGAGGCACCTGAGCCCCTGACAGCCCCGGTTGAATTCAACCCCTACTTGTAACAGAGCAGAAGAAACGGAGAAGAATCTTGTATAGCCGAGTCAGCTTTTGTGTTTGCTCAGCCTCCAGTGTGACGTCTCACCTGCCGGCAGCCGCAGAAATCCCACTGTTGTTTTTACAATCGCTGAGCATAGATAGAGCAAGGCACTAACAGTGGTCGGGTTAGGATTCACTCTCTGTTGTGCTCAGTGTAAAGAGCACTGACTCTGGTGCCTGCTCACCAACCATGTGGCAGGGCTAGGGTCAGAGGAGGACAGTAAGCAGCTACTATTATTGTATTTAACCAATTGGATATTGAATGTACTTTATTTGATTTTTTTTTGGGGGGGAAAGCTGCCACCAAGTGAGTGCAATGCTAATAATCATCTGAGATTCAACAGTTTATTGTCACTCTGGTTATACAAGTACAATCGATTTTCGTACTTGATTACGCTAGAATGCTCCATTAAAGACAAACACACAAAAATAAACATTGTATGATATATAGTGAAATAAATGTCATAATAAAATACAAAAAAAACATAAAAGAAGTGTTTTATGTTGAACACAAATTAAAATAAACCTTTCAATACAAATGCTGTTAATGTATATTTTTTGTGAAATGTAAGCAATACTTATGCATAATATGCCAATCCATGTTCATTTTCTCATGCATCTTAGTGTAAACAGGGATATATCCTTATACTGTACACAACATGTATTACTCTTTAATAATAAGGCACAGCAGGAGTGAGAATAGTCAACGAGGCCTCAGCAAGAGGCTCACACTGAAAGCAAAAAAAACATATCCTCACACAGCATCACACGCACCAATCCTGCTGTGTGTGTTGTGTGTTTGGCAACATAAGAACTCATATATTGTGTATCAGATTCCATTTCTGAATAATCAGCCAACCTAGCCAGTTTGCATACTGTCATGGAAACACATGAAGCAATTCAACATACATATACAGCATATACTATAAAACTCATATACGTGTGTTTGTAACTTTGGCTTGTGACATTCAGTATGAGAAGGAACAATGCCACACCTTATGCTCTGATTGGACCAGAGTCTTATAACCTGTAATGGACATACTTTACCGCAAATACTTAAAAGTATGATTTGTAAATGTTTAGATCACATGAACCTTCATTAAAAGGCAAGTTCAGGACTTTTTAAAGATATTTGGAAAAGTGCTTACAATGTGTCAATTTTTGTCATGTGCATATCTTTGATATTGAACTTTATATTAAACTTGATATAAGTTCCTGGACAATAAATACTTGATTGTGTCCGTATCACACATGAATTACAGATTTGTCCTTAAATATAATTATAAATCTATATATACTTTTGTTCTTAGGCCAGCTCAAAAAACACTTCCATCAATGGAATTTTAAAATTCAGTTAATCGAAGAGTATTTGAACTTTTTTCTCCTGTTTTTTTTTTAATACCAAATAGGTAAAAATATCCAGTAACACACAAGGAAAAAAGAAAGTCTGACAAAAATGTGTATAGCGTACAAAAAAACGTTTGCCACACACAATTGTTTTTACATTTTTCGGGACACTTTGACAAGTTTCAAGTACAGAAAGTAATTATAACATCTTTGTCGAAGTCAGCGCAGCAATTATCAAAATGGAGTAAATTTAGACAACAACATAGACGTCTGTGTCACATTGAAGCCAAATAGGACAGAGAGCAGGTCTAAATAAATGTAGTTATTTACAAGAATTTGGAGAAACTTGGAAGTTTTCCCTGTAAACACAATTTTTCTTTTCTTTTTGTTTTTCAGTACATCTGGAATTCTCTTGAGCAATCAGTCCTTACCACAACTTTTATTTAGCTTCGGAAAATCTTTGCAGGCAATCTTTCAGAAGTACCAGAGCTCTAATACCACTAAACGTTAGGAAATAAAGACTGTTTTATGATGGCAATTAAGAGCCTTGTAGAGATGTGCTTTCTGAGCTCTGAATGTCACAATGCTTCAGTCCATAACTCATTTATATCCAACTGGCCTCTTGTATTTGATTCCTTTCCCCTCCATGCTTCCTCTCCTCTTCTCTCTGCCCGTCATCATCTCCATCTCACTCCCTATCTCCCCCTCTCCATCTGTCCCTTCTTATGAAATAAAGCATGAATCCATTATTCATTCGTTCAAACATATCTATCATCGCCATGCCCCTTATCTGCTAAGCTTTTTTTTCTCATTGTGCTTCGGTTATTCACGACTCGTACGGCCTCCGACTGAAAACACCACAACACTGGGGAGTGTTTTTTTTTCAGGCACTGACAAGAATGGTTCGCGAGGCAGTAAAAATCCCTTTAGGGGATTCTCCTGTCATAACAATAGCAGTGCTAGCTTAAAAATAACAGTAGTTTGTGTGGAAGGTTTATATAAAGCAATAAAACAAGCGAGCTTGCGGTTGCACAGCACATAAATACTGAATAATTTGTGCGGTGAGGAGCAGGTGATGCTCTGAGGGGGGTCATGTTATCGACTGTGTCTCGTATATCTTTATCACGACCCGCATATTGTTGGAATTTCATCTGTAACATGGGGAGAATAAAATAAACAAGGCTCATAAAGAAAAAGCGGGGTTTTTTTTTCTTGAGTTAGAAGCCCCCAACGAAATATCCGTAACCTGGCGGAGGGACTGATCTCAGCGTCCAAGGAATTCCTGGCGGTATGTCAGCGGTTGTCAGACAGAAAGTTTCCAGGTGAAAAAACAATCTGGCTCTTCTCACAGAGCTGTGGGAGAACATCTGGTCAGTTTTTTTTTTGCGACTAAATTCGCAAACATGAACCAGCACTTCTTCTGCTGCGTAATTAAATGGTTTGCCAGAAAGGTTCTTCAAAGGGAATTGCAGATCAAGACTCTGCACTTCTGACTTAATACAAGCAGACTGGGGGGTGGGGGGTGTTCAGAGCCGCAGAACTAACACGTGTCCCTTTGTCCCCGTGCAGAATGCTGGAGGATGACCTGAAGATCAGCAGCGACGAGGAGGAGGCCGAACAGCAGGTGAGCTCCGGTCATTTGTCTGTCTGTGCAAAAATCATCCATTGCTCCATCTGTCCTCCATCCACATCCTTGACCTTAAGTTCAGCATTATATGTGACATTTAGTCATTCATTGGTCCAGCAGTCAGCTCAGCCCCTCTCTGAAAGCATCCATTCTTTTTCAGTCGATCCAAGTATCCAACCAACATCAATTGGCTTATATTTAGTTAGAACCTCCACACATCGAAACAAAATTTCCCTTCCAAAGTGTCCTTGGCTCAAAATATGGATGTATTGCACTTTTTTCCGAATGAGGCCAATGAAAACGTTTCTAAACGAATACTTGTTTGTACAATTCCCAATGTGTCAGATTTAATAATATATTACAGTTCTTAGTGAAACTGGCATCACAACAGCGTCGAAACCAATAAACTAGAAGGACACTTGGAGAGCGCCAAGGTTGTTTTCTTAAATGAAATAAAAAATGTGTATTACTCTTCCACAAAGTTTGATATAAATCGGGTTAGCTATAGCCGAACTTACTTAGAGAACTTTTAGTCTGCTTTACTCAGGTCAAAACAAACAATACCATGAATGCAAAGACTTAACCAAACAATAACCAGTGAATACTTAAAGGGGCCGTATATTAAACTTTTTTCGGGTTTCCCTTTCCTGTAGTGTGTTATATAGGATTTGTGTGCATGTAAATGGTCTGCAAAGGCTAAAATCCCTGTATACCCTACGGAGCGAATTTCTCTTTTGGGAGTATATTCTTTGAAGCAATCAAAGAAATCCAATAAAATAGTTTTTCAGAGTAATTGTTCACTGTGCCCATTTGGAAAGCCTTTGAAAACGGTATAGACTCGCATAGGGCAGAGTAGAAGTGTTTATGACCGTTGTTACACAAGTCTTAGTCACCAAACAGGACTTCCAGCTGTGATTTTATTTAAAAAGAATGGCTTTGTTCTTGTTAGAAAGAGATGGATATTTATAACAGCTTATTATTCTAACACAATCAATGTATCAACCATGTGAGGGATAAGGAGCCAAGATAAGATACACATTTGAATGTAAAAAAAAACATAAATAAAAAACATCCAACCGTCATTTAAATGCAAAGGTAAATCATGAAGTTAAATATATACATACAGCTCTGGAAAACCACTCAAATGTTCTTAACTCTCAATCTCTACATGTATGGCAGCCATTCCATTCCAGCGTCTGTTGAATTCCAACACAGAGAAATGTTGTCAATAGTTTATAGAATAAATAAAAAGACATACATTTTTCTCAAACACATACCTATAAAAAGTTAAAACAGAGAAACTAATAATGCGGCAGTGGTCTCTTCATTTGTCCAGAGCTGTAAATATATACTGTATATATATACTTTTCTTTTTTTTTTCATTGATAAAAAATGTAGGACCTGCATGCGCTCAAATTATTTCCTGTACTGGTAACCCTTTTAGAAAAGGATCAATTTAAAGGTCCATGTCATGCTTTTCATGTCATTACCTGTCTATGCTGCCCCAGAACGCCTCGTCGGAGCTCCAACAAGCCGTCTAGGACAGAGAGTGAATACACATACTATACAGAGATGCTGTATGAGAAACCAATGTGAGTTTGGAAAATTGCAGAATATAAATCTATTCTAGTAGACCTCAGCAATGGAATTATGATCAGTATAAATGGCCATGACATGTGACCTTTAAACAAAAAGCTAATTCTAAAACTTTTAAACAATTAAAACACCCTTATTCAGTGATGCAAATTAGTCGCTTTCCGGCGCCTCCCGCTTTTTTAACGCTGATTTGGGTGACTTCTGTAATTCGCGGAGAACCGAAGAGTTTTCGTTTGGGGGGGGGGGGGGGGGGGGGGGGGGAGTCCGTCAGTCCGTCAGAGGTTGCTTTTTCTTTGCACAGCATGAAAGAAAGGCCAAATGAATGGGCTGTGATTTTAGTTTTTTTAAGCAGAGGTTGAGTTCAATCATTTGTATGGCCCTCGGAGGATGTTGTAAAAATTGAAAGGAAAAAGGTTCCCCACCCCTGCTGTAAATAACAATAAAAACCCTTGATTTATAACTTAACACCTCTGTCTCCTATTGATCTGAGTATATTAAAGAATAGCAGTTAATTGAAGCATTATAGCACAGGCCTTTGTCAGATGGTTTATTACACTGTTTTTTTTCTGCTTCGAATAGTTCTCTCTTTTTTCACCATACGTGTGTTTGCATCCCTGCTTATTCTTAGTCATGTTAGACCAGAGAGTGTCTGTTATCACGTTTAATGGGACTATGCCATACAATAAAAGCTTTTGAAATGAACACATCGTAGTTGACTGTAACTCAACATGCTTAGATCAGGTGGCACACTTTAGTCTCTATAATTAAGAAACACTAAATCAGTAATGTAATAATAAAAGGTCAGAATTTCAGTTTGAGTCTATACCTACTGCATCATTGTTCAGACACAGACAACACATCATGTTGATGTGTTATTATTATTTATTATTATTAGCAGTGTTTCCCCACGTTGAGTTCAGGGTCCATCGGTCACAGAGTTCATGTTTGTCACCCAGCAGTTGTCCTGCTCTTCCTGTCTGATTTCTTCTGTATGGGACATTGTCACGGTGGCCCTCCCTCCTTTAATCACTATCATCATGCACTAATGATGCCAGAGATGGTTCAAAGCAGTCAGTGGGGGTCGCGCCGCTGCCCCCCCACACCCTCTGACTGTGCGGACTGATATCAGCGCTCATCAAAGGGTACGCCAGATATTTTCTCTTAATGAAAAGATACCGATTCCCCTCATCTCCTTTTAACTGCCCCTTCTGATTGTATAATACAATGATGGTAGATTTGATCATTGTAAATGATGGCAGGTCATTTATAGTGATTTTAGCTATTATAATTATGCAGAAAGTAGATCTGTTAATTACAGATAGTTAGAGTGGATTCAGAACTGTAGCAATTGGTCCCCTTAATCATCGAGTTTGCATATGATTAGTCTTTGAAAGTTGGATGAATAGACGCAATGCACTTCGATACAATTGATTATCATTCTGGATTTCTCTCACTTTTCTACCAGAAGTGCATATCCCTCCTTAAATATAATCCTTCTTTTCTCTCTTTATTTGAATAAATGTACATATTTCTGATGACTCACCTTAAACTTGGGAGAGTTTACATTATTGTATCTTATCTAATGTGATATGTATCATTGTATAAAACTCCACCTGACTGTTAGCTAGTGGTGTTCAGTCCCTAGCAGAGCAATATGCTGCTGTAGTAGGAGGTGTGTGCTCGGATTTGGGTCTGATTTCTTCATTTCTTCATCATCTTCTGCCTCCTGATCTTGCAACATGTGGGAGGGAGGTGTACCGTAGGTGGGGGTCTGTATCTACACGTCCACAAAGCCACAAACACAGGACTTAAACGAAGGAGTCTCTGTTCCTGTCCTGTGTGAATTCAAAAATCAACACATTGACTAATTCTAACGAACCTAAGTTGCACTGTTTAACTGAAATCACATTTGTTACATGCATATGTAACTAAGGCTGCACAACTCATTCAAATGTAATCCAAAATCGCAATATGGACCACTTTCCACATGTACTGTAGGAGGTACAATATTTGTTAAAGGATAAATATGTGTTAATATTGTTTTAAATTAAGTATTGTGGAACTGCTGCATAAACGAAACTCTAAAGTAACAACAACAATACTTTACATACCCTATGTTGCATACTAAACTAACAACACTGTATGTAACATACTGAAATTATGTATGTAGTATACTTAACTATCGTAATGTACTAAGTTTTGTAGGAAACTAAATATTTTAACCCAAACTGAGATTTCTTTCTAAACCTACCCAAGTAGATATGTTTCCAAAAACGGTGAACTCTCCCATGGTCATATTCAGTTTGTGTGTTTTCGAAGTCAATGGCAATTGATCTGTTCCGTCAAATAGTTAAGAAGAATATTGTTTTAAAAAGATGATAGGTGCAGTAAATCATAAATTGATTGGACATATATTTACACGCTCATAATGATGTTGAGTCATCAAAAATATTGATACTTTAGAGTTGTTGATATAAAACAAATAAGTAACCATACAAATAACACATACACAGGATAAGAGCTTCGAAAATGATTTTTTTTATATTTCCACCGTGTCTTCTACAGGGAGTTTTCCAACATGTTATACTATTTGTTTAAATATCCACCACATATTTGCTCTCCGTATTTATATCTCGCAGTCAATGTCTTTCTCCTGTCACAGACACAGCATAAACAGAAAGAAAATTGAAGGGAACAAAATACAAAAAGGGTTTAAGTTTGTGGAACATAGAGGGAGAAAGAAAGAATATACAAACTGGAAAACAATGCAGATAGGAAGCAAAGATAAAGATAGAGAAAGTGAGAAACAGAGAGATATAATGAGAGAGATGGAGGGAGAGAGGCTGAAGATGAATCCAGTGGCATTTTGTCCATGCATGCTGCTAACAGGCTTATAGCAAATGAGTGCATGGTGCATTAACAAGCTTCCATAGCCTGAAGTAAAGCACAGCACACAGCCATTCTTTATCAAATACATACAGTGTACACATGCCGACTTGTACTCACAAGCATTTACACCAGCAAACACATCACTACAAACACATGCTGACAGTTCTCCCTCTCACACACACCACACACACACACACACACACACACGCACCACACACACACACACACTCACACCACACACACACACAGATGCACATTGTCATTAGTATGCTGTGGCACAACGCTGTGAGGGCAGCAGAGGAGTATGATGAATATGTTTTTGGCACAGAGCAAAGAGACAGAGGAGAAGAGGGAATCGAAAGAAAGAGCAAGGGAAGGAGAGATGGAAGAGAGGACAGGAAACGAGAGATAGTGGGAAAGAGAGATGTTTCTAATGACTTTAGAAAACTGACGGAAAAAACAGAAACCCAATTACTGCTGCAGGACTGTCCTTGTCTCTCTATCTCCCTGCATTTCTCCCCTTTTTCTCTCCGCGAGCTCACAATCACAGATCACCTTGGTCAGAGCAAAGTCGAGCTTAAAAGCTCTTTCTTTATATAAAAATACAGATGCAGCTGGGAAAAATGTCCAGCTTAAAAGGGAATAAAGGCATATCTACTAGACTCCCCGGCACTGTCGGCTAGCTGCAAGAACATTAAGTCATGTTTTCGAAGGTACACAATAAATAATACATCAAACTTAAAGGGGCCATATGATGATCATTTTCAGGTTCATATTTGTGTTTTTCGTTTCATCCAAACATGTTTACATGCTTTGATGTTCGAAAAAACACTTTATTTTTCTCATGTTGTCCAGCCAAATAAACATGTATTCACCTTCTCTCTGAAATACTCAGTTTGAGCGCCTGTCTCTTTAAATCCCCCTCTCCAAAAAAAGCCCATTCTACACTGATTTGATCTAAAACAAATATAGCGCACCTTTACAAAGGTATTTCTCTATCTGTTGGTATACTTAGATGGCTGGGTGGGTGTAGTCTAATGACCTAACATTGACATACTTTAGGAAGGTGAGACAAATCTGATTGGCTGTTTGAATCATGTGTTTCTCTCAGGGCAGCACACAAAATAACTGACTTATTTCACGATGTGTGGTTTGGTAGGCACACGATAGCCGTCCCTCACGAAAAGTATTCACAGGAGAACAGAAATGTCAATAGCTTAAGAAAATAAATATAATATCAAACATTATTCCATAGAAAACTGGTTAGTGTAGCTTGTGCTGCACACATCCGAGCACATTTTGTCTGACTTTGATGAATCCATCTGGTCACTATCAACTTGTAACTAATGTCAACTGACTGTCATGTCCTACAGCAGACATTGTGAACATGATTTTAAAATATTGTGCGAACCCTGGCATACAATCTGTATTCTTCAAGTCGAACATTACACTTCATTAATAATAGTTTGATAGTTGTGAAATGGAGGATTTGTTAAATACATAGGACACAATTATTAGTACAACGTTAATTAAAACAGGCTCAAATTCAGTGTTTAGAATAATAATAATTTCCTCTATTGTCTGTATACTCACCAGCTTCTGCTAACTATGTGCTATGATACAGTAAATGCATCTTTATCTTATTATTGTAGAGGTTATATGGCAAAGCTGTGCCTTAGGTCTTAACTCAGGTTGTGTCCAGTGGGTCAGCATAATATCCAGCCAAATAAGGTCAAACTTACAGTTGAGCATTTGATCCAAAGACATCCAGAAAAAAGATAAGAGGCTAGGAATGGACTTGGAAACAGAGATAACGTTGTAGCAGAGGATCAGCACAAACTACAGCAAACAGGAGCGTGTGTGAAGTACAGGAATCCATCGACAAGTCAGTTCAGAAGGTCAAGAGTGGGAGAGGTGGAAAGGATATGGGGTCAAAGGCAGGGTGAGTCAATAGAGAAAACTCATTCTCATGTAAGAAAGAGAACATGTGTTCCTTTAGTCTGTACAGGGTTGGAATTCACAACCTAACTAGGATGACTGTTGGCTCAAAAAGATAAAAAGCATATGCACACAAGTGCTAATATCATTTCTGTGGTGCATCCAGATGGACCGGCTGTGTTAAATCCAGCTGGCAGCCGATGGCGAGATGCTACCATTCGGGATATAGAGTCTCTTTGTTTTGCCACTAGTGAAAATCCAGATGCTGCCTTATTT